GAATTGAACGGGGCGCGGCCTACGCACACAAGCACCCCCCCCCGCTCGGTGCGGGGTGGGGAATCTGGGGGGGTAAAAGCCCACCCATCTTAAAGTTGATAAGGTTGAGAAACCCTGATCCACGGACTCTCAGTTGGCTTCCTTCTTGTATTCTTCAGGAATTGCCTAGATTGGATGTCTTCTAAATTGTGGTCAAGCTTTGAGGTAGGTGTCCTGGGTCCTTGAAGGCTCTGCAGGAGTGGCTGGGTGGGACCGAGTATCTGCAGAGGTATGGATCGTATCTAAGAATAGGAAGGCTCGTAAAACATTCCATTAAAATGGTTATTTTTAGGATTGGTGGTGGCCAACGTTCACTCTTTGCTTTCACTCTTTACTGTCAGTAACTGAAGAAATTGAGAGAGGGAAGTCCCAGGTAAAGAAGATTGAAAGGGAAGGAACAAAACTGGACATAGAAGAAACTGGGTTTTGAATGATGCCCTGAAGGCAGAAGAACGGTCAGTTTCCCCTAGGGCTTTGCATAGAGGCCAAGCCGAGTGGTAAACTTTGAAAACAGGGCAAAATAGTATGCTTTTATTTACAGAGTTAAGTGCAAGGGAGGTTAATGATGGAGTTGGTATAAATTGGAATTTTTGGAATGTGGATGTGGCAAACCTGAAATTGCCCGTTCAAAACAGCTCTTTGATAACATAGATCTGCAAACCTGGGTCTGGTTGCCCCCAAAAGCAGGTTGTAACTCTGGAATGGATGGGAACCTTTTACACGCTGGTTAGTTTGATGCAAAAGCTGCCTACTCACGAGTATTTAATATTCCATCCTTCGTGTTTCTTGGCTCAATTAAAAGCAGTTAAAAAAGAGTTTGGGGGCATTAATGTGCCTATTTTTTGCTGCCTGAATGACAGTAAATTGCATGGCTATTTTTAGGTGGTTTGCTGCCAAACAGCAGTGTCCAGGGAGCAAGGTCAAAAAAGTCAATATGGTGGTTGTGCCTGTGTAATGAAAGCATGCAATACGTGATGCTGCTTCATTCCGTCCAGCTGTTTGAATCATTTCAGCTCTACTGACAACGTGGACTCCCTTTCTTCTAAAAATTTTAAAAATCAACATGTTTCCCATTTTTACTATGGCTACAAACAGCAAATAACAACAACAACAACGATAACAATTTGACATCTTCCAAATTAATGTTGGAAAGTTTCATGAGCCGTTTACAAAGCAGTCAGAACATAAAGTCAAAGGTTATTTATTTGGAAACCATTATATGCTTATAGGAAAGGACGGCACTCTTGGGGCCCTGCTGGGTGCGTTAAGTGGACTCTGGTTTCCTTTGGGCTTGTAGGAGTTCTGGGATGGATTCAGATCGATGGGGCACGTGGAGGTTTGTCTTCTGCTGACAGACGGAGATAAAAATATGAGAGTATTATGCTTTACATTGGCTAGTAACATACCAAAGATGGTTAGTTTTATGATCCCTGGAAGCAGCTTTGCTTGGTGGGCAGCTGGCTTCCCAACCAGGCTGCCCTTGGCGATTAAATCAGCGCTTTGCTCTGAAGCCACCCTTCTAGTAACGATGTGCCAAATGATGAAATCCTGGGCGTTTGCCAAGGACCTTGTTGGGCTCCTGGCCGACTCTTGCAGACATCATTGTTGGAAAGAAGTCAGGAATGACAGAAGACATCTAGTCCTCTTCCAGCTGTGCCTTGGGAGGAAAAAAAACAGCCATTACGGTCAAACTGTCTTTTAGGAAAACTCACGCCGTCTTTAGACAGACTGCTCAATAGAGTTCTGAAACTGCTACCGTTGAAAAATGCTGTGGCTTTAAAACCCAAGTGTTTCTTCCTACATCTCTTCTCTAAAATACATCAGAAAAGGTTTCATTCCTCTTGATTTATTTACATCTGGGAGCATTTGGGATGGAGTGTAAAAAAAAAAAAGGTGTAAAAAGGGGCAGGGCTTACAACACGTGGTTGTGACTGCCATCTTGACTTTTCACTTCCTGCTGCAGATACACTGTGCATGGAAGGAAACCCCTGATCTGGGAGGTTCCCCTTTAAATCAATACTTTATTTGGAAGTGACATCAGAGGAGATCCCACATTTAACTACATTAGGTTCTCCTTTTATAGAGACTCAATTGCAGAGCAGGTGAAGGAGTTACATCGATAACCCAAGTCCCAGGGAGCAAGATATTTGGTCCAAAAAGATCTTGGAAGGCTAGAAAAATGTTTCCGGTTTATTTATTGCAAGTAGTCCTTGTTTAGCAACTGCCTCATTTAGTGACTGCCTGCAGTTATGACAGTGATGGAAAAGTAACTTTGCGACCAGTCCTTGCATTTACGACCTTCGTAGGTCTGTAAAGCAAAGGAAAGCTGAAGGAAGGTTGTAAGCGCAGTGGTGGTTTCACATAGCGACCTCTTTGCTCAGTTGGATTGCACCATTGTGGCCCCATCTTGACATTTTTCACCCCAGACACCCCTGACTTTTGTTTTTAGCTGTGTGGCCCATAAAAAAAAGGTGCCAGTTTAAGAAGCTGGTTATTTTTTTTCTCCTGCTTTCAACTGACCAGCCATAAATACCAGTCCTTTGTCCATCCCTGGCAGTAGTTGCTTGTGAATAGCCCTGGTTTTCTGCTTGCTGTAGGCCAGTGTTGTCCAAACTTGGCCACTTTAAGATGAGTGGACTTCAACTCCCAGAATTCCCCAGCCATGCTGGCTGG